GGAGGTTATATGTAGATCCTTGTAACTGGTTCCCCCTTCCCACCCCACCCTCCCCCCACACCGTGTATCATGGCTTCTAACAGCCTCCCAAAACCATCACTTGAAGAAACACTAAAAACTTCTACCAGGGGCATACTACCAGCCTGCTAGGATTTTCCCCCCCCCAATATTGTGTTTGAAGGTGAAAAGAAAGCACTAAACGTTTCAAATGGGAATGAGTATCAAAGTTTAGATTTCCATAAATGAGCTCTTTGACTACCTTTTGGTACATTGATTGAATCAGATTTCATGTCAGTGGTCTTGGTGTGCTCTGGGAAGTGACTGGACTAGGAAGTAGTAGAGACGCAGAGAGGAGTAGGATAATTTAAGACCTGTTTTGGAGTGACTGGAGCAACTTGGTGAATGAGATTCTGATTTACTGATGAATAATGAATGATTTAATGACCTAGGTGTAAAACTCTTAAGTGAAAAAAGATAGTTGAGTTAGCTAGAGAACCAAGAGCATTGGTTTAATTTTGGCCAAGTTGAATTTGAATTGCCTAGAGTGGTAACAAGTACACATTCTCTGTATGGGTGTGGGCAGGAGATTTGGGAGTTACCATCTTGTAACTAGTCATTGAAGCAACTGAAAGCGGATCGCTTAGGGAGAATGTAGCCTCAGAAGAAACTAGAACCCCAAGGAGTGCTGTTATTCAATGGTCAGAGAGAAAAGGAACCTCTGCAGAGAAATCTGAGACCTGGCAGCTAGAGAAGTCGGAAGAACAGCGAGAGTTTTTCCGAGATTCAATGCAGACTCAAGATGCTCGCTGAATTTAGCCATGCGGAGGTCATCTGTGATCTTAGCAAGAGTATTTTCAGTGATGGGGTGTGGATGTGGAATAGGGATAAGGAAATGGAGCCCAGAAGAAAAGACAACTGTTTCAAGAAGTTTGTCTTAGGAAAGGAAGGAAGGAGTTGAGGTAGCAGGGGGGGCAGATGTGCTTAGGGTCGGGCTCCCTCCCCTGCCTCACGGCCACTTCTGGAGTGGTACCAGCAGCAGCTAAGGTGGGTCTCCTGTAGCGTGGAGAGCACGGGTGGACCTCCTTGCTGGTCCTGAGCCTGGACCCCTGGTGCCCCCTGCTTTTATTTTCCTGGCCGCAGGATAAGGTGCTGGACTCTTCACCAGCACTCAGTAAGGTGAGGCACCAGCATTAAACCAGGTCTTGTGTTTCCACCACAGGAGGTTCTGGGGGAAGACAAGCTGAAGGAGATCCTGAAGGAGCGGGAACTTAAAGTTTACTGGGGAACCGCCACCACCGGCAAGCCTCATGTGGCCTACTTCGTGCCCATGTCGAAGATCGCAGACTTCCTGAAGGCAGGTTGCGAGGTAAGCAGGAACTCCACATGCCAGGCGGTTGCCCTTGGGGAACGACCAAAAGGCAAATGTGATAAGGCCAGGGGTGGAGGAGCGCTCGGACAAATGCACATTTTGGTGGTCCCTTTCCAGGTAAAGATTCTGTTTGCGGACCTTCACGCATACCTAGATAACATGAAAGCCCCGTGGGAACTCCTAGAACTCCGAACCACCTACTATGAAAACGTGATCAAGGCAATGCTGGAGAGCATTGGTGTGCCCTTGGAAAAGCTCAAGTTCATCAAAGGCACCGACTACCAGCTCAGCAAGTAAGTGCTTAACACCCACCCTCCTTGTGACTCTAACACACCTAGCTAATTATGGGCCTGGGAAATCCAGACACCCTAAATTTAAATGAGAAGCTGTTTGCCCATTGCCTTATAAGAACCATTAAAAATTTTATGCCCTTTGTGCTTTTAAAATAGCCATTAAAAATGTGCTAACTGGTAAACAAATGCCTAGGTACTGTCCTAATAGAAACCTAACCTTAGCAAAGACCTTGGCCTTGTAGAGCCTGTGGGAGAAGGATGACAGACAGGGGAGCCTTTCCTCCTTCCAGTCTGAGCAAATAATGTTGAAAGAAAAGATAAAGGAACACATTTCAAAATCCCCGCCCCCCCAGCTTTTATTGCTTCTTTCCTTTTGTCAATTCTTATATATATAATGCTACCTCAGGTAGAATTTTGTATCTTAATTTTCAGCCTCCGTATTATTTAATCTTCAAAACCTTGCAAATAGCCTATGTAACATGCATCACTGCCTGGTATTTTTGTACTTAGGCCCTCAGAACAATTTTTTCAAAGTAAGGATGCTAACCACAAGGTCAGCAGTTTGAAACCACTAGCTGCTCCAGGGAAGAAAGACAAGGCTTTCTACTCGCATAAAGAGTTGTAGTTGAAAATATACAAATGTGTTTGACACAATGGATGGATGGATGGATTGTCATAAGAATTGAGTCCCCAATAAAATGATTTTTTAAAAAGAATTATAGTTGAGGGCAGTTCTACCCTGTCCTATGAATCGTAATTAAGTCCATGGCTGTGAATTTGTTTTGCTTTGTTTTTATTTTTGTTTATCTTCATCAGATAGACTTTTTTGTACCTCCCCCACTGCTGAGCATTTACTTTTAAATAAAGCATATAAACATCTGTGCCTCACTTAGCTTGCTAAGGAAGGAACCCTGATGGTGTTGCGGGTTCAAATAAATGAAAGTCACTATAAAGTGATGATAATTTAGAAGAGTTTTTATTCGTTATAACTGAACTGTTAGAATCTAAAAGCGATTCTTTTATTGCAGTCCTGAGTGGACATTTCAGTCCATCTTTAAAGGCAAAAACTCATTTATCATTTGTCTAGAACTTAAGCAAGCATGGACAGAAGAAGGAAGCAAAATTAATGTTATTATTCTTTAGAATTAGTGAGCGTTACAGGGTACAGCATTGATTATAACATCCTGATTAAGAAAATAAAAATAGTAATATCCTGGTTACAACATCAAAAGGAATAATATTTTTAATGACAATGTTCTGATCTCAAGAGCAAAGGAGTGCATTCTAAAATCAATCACTAGTCGAACTTTTGGGGATAGGAGGGCGAAGGAGGCAGGTCATAAAGATTTACAGCCTGTAGGTTCAGTGAGTCAGAATCAACTCAACAGCAGTAGGTAGGATGGCTGTGAGGAGCCCTAGTGGTATAGTGATTAAACACTCAGCTTCTAAGCAAAAGGTCAGTGGTTCAAATCCACTAGCTGCTCCACGGGGGGCGCAGTCTGCTCCCAAAAATATACAGCCTTGGAAGCCCTATGAGACCGTTTTACTTTGCCCTTGTGCTGTAGGGTCACTAGAGCTCTGGTGACAACGTGGAGACTGGTTACCCACTGGGTAGCTACCTGCGAAACCTGCAGTTTGAAACCACCAGCAGCTCCTAGGGCTTTCTAATCCCCTAAGGAGTTACAGTTTTGATAGCGTCATTTGTATCAAGCATAGTTGTATCTATGTTGCCATCGTCATTTCCAGAACATCTACTTAAGCCCTTGGTATCTGCTCCTCGTTCCCCATCCCTCCCTATCATTCGTTATTCTTTACACCGACCCGGAAGCTACAGAAAGTTAGTGAGAATCTTCATTATTTTTTAGTTAAAGTTGTCCATGAATATGTTGAAGCCCCCTCATACTTAAAAAAAAAAAAGACATGGAAAAGCAATTGACTAGCCTTGGCATGTATCTAATTGCCATTCCAGAAGAAGAGGGTGAAGGGAAATGGCAGAAGAAAAGGTATTTGAAGAGAAAATTGCTAAGTTCTTCTAGAAGTAAAGAAAAGGGCTATTGAAAGTTTTTTTTTTTAAGCTATTTTTAAAAAAGAAAAACAGATTCTCTTCTGAATGAGAGCATGGGTCTCAAAAGCCACCCTTTAGTGCTCTCTTTGAAGGGTTCAGGAATAACAGGCGTAAGCACAAGGGGGAAATGGATCTCCACGTGGCCCTTTTCCAAACAGAAAGCGCAGCACTGTGCTGTAGGACTTTGCTGGGAACCAGCCTACAGCTGTCCCTCTTTCCTCCCCAGAGAGTACACCCTGGATGTGTACCGCCTCTCCTCAGTGGTCACGCAGCATGACGCCAAGAAAGCGGGCGCCGAGGTGGTCAAGCAGGTGGAGCACCCTTTGCTGAGCGGTCTGCTGTACCCTGGACTGCAGGTACTTAGGAGAGAGGCAGGGGCCTCTGCTTTCCTTTGCTACTGACTCCTGACTCCTCACAAACCTTCCTCTGAGCTCCAAACGGGCTCATTTACTGTGCTTCACCAGACCCTAGGCCTGCCTTCCTCCTCCTCTCCCTCACTTCCTGTGGCACACTTACACTGCTCTAGTTGTAGGACCTCACTGCCTATATGTTCTTGAAGACACTGCTCCCTCTTGCATCTTCATGATGCTCATCATAGTCTGTTAGTCAGAGAATGGGAACTTCAGAATGATATGTGCAAATAAATTACAGGCGTGATCCTATTTTCCATTACGCAAAGCATTGTATTTCATACATGTATGTATGCCTTTGTAGGAGCAAGGAGAACGAGAAAAAATATATGTTAGTTAAGCCATTAATATTAGTTAGCTCTGGGAGGCGGAATGATAATATGGACAGACTTAATTTTTTTAGGGGGGTGTATTTCTCTGTCATGTCTGGTATATTCTCACTAACATGAGTTACCTAACTGCAGTCCAGTCATATGTGGCCAGTGGGTTTCATAGCACATAATACAGTATTAATAAAAACCTCACTGCCTTTGAGTCAGTGCTGACTCATAGCGATCCCATAGGACAAGGTAGAACACCCCTGTGAGGTTCTGAGACTAACTCTACAGGAGTAGAAAGATCCATCTTGTGATATACGAGGGGTTACCTCCCCCCCAAAAAAAATGATGTTATGTGAGGGGGTAGTGCATTTGCAGTTCATTCCACCAGGTCAGACTGTTAATCAAGCTTTCTATTCAGAGGTTCTGAAAAGATTACATAACAATGTACGACAAAAGTCTAATTTGTGGCAGACCGGGGACTGGTTTTGCCAGCACGACAATGCAGCTGCATGCCAGTTTTTGGCAAAAAAACAGCATGCCTCTTTTGCCTCTGCACCTTGCTCACCTGACCTCGCTCCATGTGACTTTTCGTTTCCTCTAATGAAGAGGGACATGAAAGGACAGTGATTTGATGACGTAGAAGAAGTGAAGAAAAAAAGGAGGGAGGTGCTATCAGCCATCCAAACAGATGAGTTAGAAAAATGTTTCCAAGAATGGAATCACAGATTTGACAGATGTATTTTAAGTCTAATGGAGAGGACTTTGAAGGTGATAAGGTTGTTTTGCAAAAAAATAATTAAATACATAGCTTTGAAAAAATTCTGGGTCTGGGGGGTCGTCCCCCTCCCCGTATAGTACATTATCACAAACTGCCCTGTTGGACAGTGTTGTTCTAGATCCCCCCTTGTTTGTTCACCTTTCTCTTCTCCCTCATTCCTCTCCCACCAGCCAAATCAGATCACTAGATCTTGTCAGTGCTGCTACTAAAAATCTCACCTTTAGTCTCAGGCAACGCTCCCCCTCTCGGGTTCATCGCCATCTTCACAGCAGCTTCCATTAATTTCCCTGTCTGCCCACAGGTCCTTGCTCTGCCCTGTTATACGCTGCTCCTCTCCCTCAAATCTTTTGCTGGCCTGGGAGAAGCTGGCCCCCTCGGCACTCTGTCTGGCATTACATTTGGTCCTTAATGGAGTGCTTGAAATCCTTTGTGCCGCCCAGAGCCCCCCAGTCTGACACCCACGGTCCTTCCTTGTCTAAGCTCATCATCATCCCCACATCCCTTTAAGGTTGTGCTTTCACAGGTCAAATCACTCGTTCTCCTAAATGTTTCACACCTCTGAGTGTGCCTCCGTCACTGTTTCTCTGTGTGGTGAAAATATCTACTTGAGCCCCCAAACCCAGCGTAGCCCACAATGAATTCTCAGAAGTCCTCCTCCCCACATATCTAACCAACTAGAGAGAATCAGTCATTTCTCCCTTTGTGTTCAGTGTTCCTCGTATTAGCATCTGGGTTCGCCCTAGCGCACTTCGTTCAAATGATCTGTTTACATGTCTCTCTCCTGAAGTGGATAATCTGACTTTTCGAATCCGTCTGGCTCTGATTCATCTCTACATCTGCAGGCCAGGCATGTAGTAAGTGACTGTAATTTGGTATTCTACTTAAGTCTGCCTTTTTTCTGGACCCTGGTAGCACTTACTTCTTTCTGTGTGCCATGATGGGGCGGGGTCCCTTCAACATGGCTTTCTTTCTCTCCCTTCCCCTTTTCTGCACTGAACTGTGAGCTGCCTGGAGACAAGACCCACTCTTCTCTACGTTTCCTCCGGGACGTCTGGTGAGGACTGCTCCTTACGGGCCCGGAGCACATGTTTAGGCAAAGCTCTTAAGCCAGCCGGGAAGCTAAATGCTGTTTGTTTACACGCTGGCCACCCTTCTGAAGAACCTAGCAGTGCTTCGGCATTTCTGAGTCCCCATCTTCACGCTACAGAAACAGTGGGAGTTGATGTTTTGGTGTCTGTTTGTTTTCACAGGCCTTGGATGAAGAGTATTTGGAAGTCGATGCTCAGTTTGGAGGCATTGACCAGAGAAAGATTTTCACCTTTGCAGAAAAGGTCAGTGTCATCTTTCCTATCATCGCACCTTTGAGCCTCGGAGGTGTGCACCCGAAGTTCATGAAACTGTGACACACATCTGTGTAAACAAAAACTCACTGCCATCAAGTCGGTTCCAACTCAGAGGGACCATAAGACGAGTGACGCTGCCCCGGGGGCGGTTTACTGGAGGAGAAAGCCTCCTCTGGCCTGTCCTTTAGGGAAGAGGCCCTTGTCTCCTGTCAACAGCTTTGTTTTTCATCCTTCCGAGGAGAAACTCTGTAGCCATTGGGCAATGCTTCCCCGTTTTCACTTCATTCATTTGGTATTTGTCAAGCGTGTAGAGAAAGTATTGCTAGTGGAAGTAGAAATCCCTGGAAGATGATTGTTGTTGTTCAGGGACTGTCCAGTTGGTCCCAACTCACAGCGACCTCATGCACAACAGGAGCAAACAGTCATGCCATCCACACTGTCGTTGCTTGTTTGAGCCCGTGGTGGCAGCCACTGTGCCAGTCCATCTTTGTTTGTTTGTTTGTTGCTAATCTATCTTATTGAGGGACTTTTTATTTATTTATTTTGTCGACCCTCTACCCATCATGATGTCCTTCTCCAGGAACTGTTCCTACCTGCTACTATGTCCAAAGAAATGCGATGCAGTCTTACGATGCTCACAACCCCGGAGAACTCGTGTGCTTCTCCCGAGAGGGATTTGCTCGTTCTCCTGGCGCTCCGTGGTCTGTCCAGCGGTCTTCCGCTGGCAGCCCCATAATCCAACGGCGTCACGTTACCTTTGCTCTCTCCCTTTTTCACTGTCCGGCGTCCACCTGCATCGCTTGGGTCAGGGCCATCTTCATCCTCAAAGTAACGTGTTTGCTCTTTATTAACACTTTCATGAGGTCTTTTACAGTAGATTCTGCCCAACATAGTAGGACACCTTTCATCTCTTTTCCTCTCTGTTCATCACCATGTTGCTTATCGTGAGGACTTTCATTTTCATGATGTTGTGGTATAATCCATTTCAAAAGCTATCGCCTTTGCTTTCCAGCAGTTAGCGCTTTACTTTAGGCGAGCAATGTGTATCGTCTGCATATTGCAAGTTGTTGGCGAGTCTTCCTCTCACCCTGATGCCAGAGTTTTCCCTCTGCGCCAGTTTCTTGGATATTGCACTCAGCATACAGATTGAATAAGTACAAGGTAAGGACACAACCCTGACATACTTTCCCAGATTTTAAGGCACACAGTGTCCCCTTGTTCTGTTAAACAACTGCCTCTTGGTCCATGTACAGGTCTCAGGAGTATTATTCAGTGTTCTGGAATCCCCATTTGCAATGTTATCCACAGTCATTAAAACACAGGTAAAACCTGTCTGGTGTGCCCTGCTTTCAGCCAAGATCCATCTGGCAGCAGCAATGATATCACTCGTTCCACATCTTCTGAACCCAGCTTGGAATGATCTTCAGCAAAATTTTACTTGCATGTGACATTAGTCATTAATTTTCACATTCTGTGGGATCACCTTTCTTTGGAATGAGCATGAAGATGGATTTCTTTCGGTTAATTGGCCAGGTAGCAGGCTTCCAGATTTCTGGGCCTGGACCAGTGATCTCTCCCAGCCAGTGCCGTGGTCACTCCTGGAGCCTTGGTTTTCCTCAGGGCGACTGGACTTCCTCCTTCAGCTGTACTGTTGGTTCTTTTGAAGTGGTTAAGTGTTCAGTTACCAGTTATTTTTGCTCAGTGACTCTATTCCTTCCACCTCCTTTTTCCTTGTTTGGGTGCTTCCTGTGGTCACTGCAGCTCAGTGCTGTGCTTATATGTGTTCAGGTCTTCCAGCTTGAGGAATGCTGAGCGTGTTCGTTCTTCCCTTTCGGGTTTGTGGCTCTAGGTGTTTGCACATTTGCTTATACTGCTTTGTCTTTGCGAGGTTGCCGTTGAAATCATTTCTTCAGCTTTTACTTCATTAATTCTTCCATTGGCTTTAGCTATTCTATATTCAAGAGCAAATCTTACAGTGTCTTCTAACATGCATTTGGTCTTTTATTTCCTGTCTTGTAAATGAAGTTTTGCTTTCTTCATGAATGATATTCTTGATGTCATCCCACAACTCACCTGGTCTTTCTTCAGTCACTTAGTATTTTATGCATCTGATCTATTGTTGATAGTCCTTAAATTCAAGTTGGATTATACTCAAGGTTGTACTTTGGCTCTGGTGGACTTCTTTTAATTTTCTTCAGCTTCAACCTGAACTTACATATGAGCAATTGATGGTCTGCTCCCCAGTCGGCTCCTAGGGTAGTTTTTGCTTCTACTCAGGAGGTTTTTGCTGGTCAGTTTTCTCAGCTGGAGGTCACTAAGTCTGCCTTGCTAGTCTTTCTTAGTCTAGAAGCTTCGCTGAAACTGCTTGCCATGGTGGGCCTGCTGTCGTGTGAAATACCAGTGGCGTAGCTGCTGGTATCAGAGCAATATATAGGGTTCAACTAATCGTACAATAAGCTAGGTGGTGGGGAAGGTGAGTAGACAACCCTACAATTTTCCTGCTTTGGGACCTAATAATTCTACTTCTAGAAATTTCCCCATGTTGTACTTCTAGCAAGCTCCTAGGTGATGCTGATATTGTTAGTCTATAGACCAGTGATTTGGGACTGGGAAGACCACCCTAAGCGAAAAGGCAGAAATCACAATAATTGTCCTCATGGAACTTATATTCTAACAAGAGTGAGGAGACAGAGGAAAAACAGGTAGATAGCAAGATGGGTTGATGAACAGAAAGAAGACATATTGTATAGTTGATGATAAAGTGCTATTCAGAATAATAAAGCTGTAGGAAGTGAAAGACATCGAAAATGTTGTATATGAATAAAGACTTGAAGGAGGTAAGAGATCACGCAGGTTAGATTTCTGGGGACGAATGGTCCAGTGAGAGAGAAAAACCACACTGTCATCTGGTTCATACATTGGGTTTTGGAGACTGTACATCTTTACAGTAGCAGACAGCGCTGTGGGGAGCCAGCCTCCCCACGACCGAATCAGATCCAAGGGCGGTTGTGTAATGGAGGGTTAAATTAAAGGGACATCAGAAAGATAAAGCATGCAAGGGCTCACCTCCACAATCACGACTTCAGGAGCCAGGGCCTCTCAGAGAGAGAGAAAGAGCATGTAATCTAAACTCACAAGCTTATATACTCTTGAGCACGCAGGCCATGGTAAGCACATATGTAGCAGGAAGGGATTGTATTAAAAGCATACATGTAACATGAGGGAGATGAGTTAGGGATATACACACAATAGGAAGGGCTTGAACTAGAGTAGTGGTTCTCAATCTCCCTAATGCCGTGACTCTAATACAGTTCCTCATGTTGTGACCCCCAACCATAAAATTATTTTCATTGCTACTTCATAACTGTAATTTTGCTACTGTTAGCAATCAGTGACCCCTGTGAAAGGGTCATTCGACCCCCAAAGGGGTCGTACCCCACAGGTTGAGAACCGCTGTACTAGAGGCACACATGTGACAAGAAAGTTCACATCTAACAAGGGGGCTCTGGAGTCAGGATGGCAGCCTAACCTTGGTCATGTCTGTGCTGGCTTGGCCTAAGGTGTCTTTGAACTCTTAGGGCAGGATCTAACAGCAGCCTGCGGGGAGAGAGGGAGAGGGGCGGGGTAAGTTCAATAGCCTCACAATCTAATACTAGTAGAAAAATATTAGGAACAAAATCTGTTTCCATTATGATCACTGTTGGGCCAAAGTAAGACTATTGTAGAAAAAGACTAGGAGGATATACTGAGTGCTTGGGGCACTGCACTAATACCTGCCTGTGTATGTTCTGATCCTCCAGTACCTCCCTGCACTAGGCTACTCGAAACGCGTCCATCTCATGAATCCGATGGTCCCAGGGTTAACTGGCAGCAAAATGAGCTCATCAGAAGAGGTGAGTCGCCCACTCTGACTTTGAGCTTAGAAAGCTTGAGCAAGAAATGGGGAGGCTGGGGATTCTTTAGGAGAGTAGCCTGGCTAACTAGAATTCATGAAACTTTGATGTATAAGGAATCTTATCGAGCCAGTTAATTCAGTGGTTCTTGGCAATGGACACATCCAATCTCCCTGCGAAATGATTATAATTTTAATAAATCTCACTGCTATCGATCAAAAGTACAAGGAAAAGAAATATCTTCATTCTCAGAACTGGTAAATAGAGCCCTGGTTGCTTTTCTCCCAGTGAGAATGTCGATTCTTGGGGTGATGTACATACAGCTCATGGGTTAAGTCTAGTAACATTTAAAGATCCTTAGGGAAAGAATACTTGTTTTGATCCTTCTCACTCAGAAACCTCACTGCCATCAGGTGGAGAGTGACCCTACAACTGTCCGTAGGTTTCCAAGACCGTCACGCTTTATGGGGGCTGCAAGTCGCATCTTCCTGCCACAGAGCCACTGGGGGTTTCAAACCGCTCGCCTTGAGGTTAGGAGCCCAGGACATAATCCACTACACTAGGGCTCTTGTTTTGATCCTGAGGAGCACAAAATCGAGTAATTAACACTAGGTTTACAGGACGAGTCATTTTGATAAATTTTAATTTCCTCACCGAAAACTACAGAAACCTTTTACATGTACATCCTATCATTGACGCTGACTTAACCATTTAACGTGTCAATTTGCTAGAAACGTAAACTGAATATTAATCCCAGTCAATGGGTTTCACTTGTGAAAGCATTATTTCCGTAGTAAGTATAAACATAATCTAAAAGTACCTAGAAAGTAAAGACAAACTTTGCAGCGGAGACTGACATACTGACCGACCCAAGCAACCCTTACGATACATGGAACCCGGTATCCCAAATGTTGTATCATGCTAGATACTAGAAAGTTTATCTACACATACGGTATCACATAGTTTCATGTATAAGTTAATAGTGTGTAATTATGTTGTTTTAAAAATAAGTCGTGTTTTTAAAGAAAATGTGTGTTTCGTTTGCATGTCAATGTGACTCATGTCCGTCAAGTTAAGTACGTAAGAAATGCCTGTAAACCTCGTATTGATGGACCCCCTGAGATCTGGAAGGTGGAGTGCTGGGTTCTCGAGCGTGACTTATCTTCATATCACCTGTGGGACTTAAAACGAGTTGGTTGGGCCCTGACCTTGGGGATTCTGATTCATTGGTTCTGGGGTGGAACGTGGGAATCCATTGATTTCGTGGCCTACTCGGTGGTCTTGATTTAAGTCTTATCTGAGCACTGACAAGTGGTTTAGTCTGGTGTCTCCACCTTTGAGCACAGATTGGGAAGTGTGTGTCTGAGAATCACAATTTTTTAAAGTAATATATTCATGTATCTTTCTCTCACATGGTCCATGTCATGGGTTCCCAAATGTATTTGGCCCACCGTCCCCTTTTCTGGGGAAAAAAAATGACTATCTCATGAGAATCACCTGGAGAAGTTCAAACAGCTGCCTGACATGCTCTGCTCAATGTATAGTCATTAAGTTTGGGTGTCCCGGGTGATTCATAAAGCCACATGTGAACCGTGACTTAGCAACTACCAAATTCATTCCAAAATAAACATAAAAGCCCCTTCTTCTGTAGAGGGGAAATGGCGCTGACGTATGTAATGCCTGGGACTAGCGATGGCGGTGAACAAGAGTTCTCTAATATTGCTAACGGCGATGCATATCCCTTCCGTGAAAAAATTTGGGGCCTAGCAATTGTAGGTAGTTTATGGAAATAATCCCCGAGAAGGCTTTAAAAACCTATGCAAAGATGTTCACTGTACATTATTTATAGTTTGTAAAAATAGGGACAATTGGGCAATCATCCATTATGTTGTCACAAATAATTGGCCATATAAGACTGCATAAAAATTGTAAAATGGCTATGGGGGACGGGAATTGTGCCCGATCTGACCCCACCACACCAGGACAAAACACTAAGGGTGTGCAACAGTGCAGCCAGGGGAGCAAAGGAATGAAGGCCCCAGAGAATACAAAAAATAGGCTTTGGGGTCAGGGCATGGCACACCATCAGATTCGACCAGAAAACTATCCTAAAGGTCAACAAACAAACAATTTACAGGGTTTTCTTTTCTGTTGTTGTTCTTTTCTTTTGTTGCTTTGTTTTGCTCTATCTTGTTTTTTGTACATATTATTATCTCTGCAGGTCTATCTAGATAAGATAGGTGGGATAAACAATCTGGAGAGGTGGGGGGAGTGGGTGTTAACAAATCCAGGGGGACAAGGGAATAACAAGTGATCTAAAATTGGTAGTGAGGAGGGTGTAGGATGCCTAGTGAGGCTTGATCAAGGGCAATGTAGCCGAGAGGAATTACTGAAACCCAAATGAAGGCTGAACATGATAGTGGGACAAGAGGAAAGTAAAAGGCAAAGGACATTTATAGAGGTCTAAATACAGTCATGCACATATGTAAATATATTTATAATTTATTATGGGGAAATAGATCTAAGTATATATATTTATATGTTAAGT